TTTTGTTGGCAGTTCATTTCTTTCTCCATCCGCTTGTCACACACACTGAACTATTGTATGTTATGTCACCTACTCCTAGTTTAATATTAACATCTAAAAGGACGTAACACATATTAGACATCATCAAGATGGCGCCGAGCATGGCCGCCGTGTTGCGAGCTCCCAGCAATCTTTGTTGTGTTTTGTGTGTTTTACTTGTATTTTTGTCGTTTTTCGTGCTGGATGTACACACTTTTTTTTTTAAAGAGCCCATATTATGGGTTTTTGAAAATTCCCCTCCATGTAGTGTGTAACACAGCTCTAAGTAAAGTAAAGTATCCAGCTAAGGCTTAAATCTGTTAGTGTACAGTGTTTAAAACGGTTGATTCATCTATAAAAGAGTCGACTCATAGTGCTTCAAACGAGTCGCCTTGATACCGATTCATTAGGTGTTTCGCCATGACGTACGAACGAAACCAAGTTATTCACGTGCACGCGCAAACCCGGGAGATTTCAAACCTGAGGCCCCGCCCTCTGACGCAGAAACCCAGACACACACACAAACACACACCCACAAACACACACACACACACAAACATGCCGGTCGATTGAAGTCACACTGCAGATGGATATATTGAGTCTCTACCCAAACATGAAACCTCAGCATTATAGCCAAGCAGTTGGAAACTACTGGAAACTTCTGGAAGCTACATGCTACAAAGAATACTTCATCAGTGTTTGTTAAAGGAAGGATCAGTAAAGAGTAAGTTAACTTACTGCTGGACGTCAGGATGGATTTCTTCCTCCATTTCTCAAGTGTAAGTACGTGCGATTAAAGTTGCCTCGTTGACTCCAGCTTGCAAATGTATTTAGTTGTGTTTTGTTACTTGTAACCGCGTGTACTGTATCAGGTTAACTGGCTATATTCTCTTATCGCGTGCAAAGTCACGTTAAAAACGCGACGCGTGCTGCGTTAACGGAGCTCCGTGGACGAGGAGTAGTGTGTGTGTCTGTGTGTGCGCGTGCTGTCGTCCGGAGGTGTGTGTGTGTGCGCGCGCGTTGTCGTCCGGAGCAGGGTTAAGTGCATGTGTGTGTTTGTGCAATATGTGTGTGTGTGTGTGTGTCTGTGAAAAGAGCAGAGTGAGAAGCTAGGAGATCTCCTCAACAGCTTTTGGAGTTTTTGCTCAATAAAATAGTCAGTCGTCTGTATTTTCAAGTCCATAGTCTGTATTTACATTGACCCACTGGCAGCTAAACTCCACGCCTACACTATTGAGCGTGTATGAACTGTGATTACTTTTATATTGCTGATTAGCCGTTTGGCATTTCACTCTGACTGAAGGCAGTCGACCAATCGCGACAGACTGTCATTGGTCCAATCAGCGCAGATTAGCTTCGTGCTAAGGAGGAGTTTGGGAACAAATGAATCACTGGACGATTCATACAGGAGTCGCTGGGATAATTAGGGAAAAATAAATGCAGATTATTAGACCATGAAAGTGTTTTTTGACCTTGCATGCATATTAGACTGTTGTTGGAGACCCTTACAACCAAGAGATGAACCTATTTCATGTATAATATGGGCTCTTTAAGCTTTTCACTCAACATAGCACACATGTTGCTGATGATGTGACAATAAAAGTGATTTGATTATATTGCAGAATACACAATTTATCCTATAACTGCTTACAATTCGTATCTACCCAGCACCGTTTGCAAGACATCCACCTGCTAAGATTATTTGATCATATACTTATGCTGTTTGAACAGGTAAATATATTTGAATTGTTTATTGAATTATTAAATATGTACGCGTACAATACGTCGAAAAAAAATGCTATGTAACGCAATAGTAGTCGGATTGCATTACCATAAATGGGTAATCTCATTTATTCATTTTCCTCCAGTCTCTGACTTATCCGGGATCACCACAGCAGAACAAACTGCCAACTATACCAGCACATATTTCACATAGCCCTTACAGCTGCAACCCAGCACTGGGAAACACCCATAGACTCATTCACACACACACACAATCATACACGACTTTCAATTTAATTCATCAATTTCTCCTATACGTGTTTGGACTGTGGAGGAAACTGGAGCACCCTAAGGAAACCCACGCCAACATGGAGAGAACATGCAAACTCCACAAAGAAACGACAACTGTCCCAGCCGGGACTCGAACCAGCAACCTTCTTGCTGTGAGGCCACAGTGCTAACCACTGAGCCACATCCAAAAGGGTAATCTATATTACAGACTACACATTTTATCATGCAATCTGTAATAAATAATTGCATTTACGCAATTACAAATGACAAACTTTAAAGATAATTTGCTCATATATGTCCCACTGCTGGAATTGCTGAATATAGTTGATTTATTTATTGAATATTTTCATCGTTATGCTGTAGTAAGTCTTCTGTTTTACAACCAAACCACCACAGGACCGGTTTATCATTCAATGCATGATATCGTCCTGCTCCATGACATGCAATAACAGGATGCTCTTTTAAAGATCTAACTCGATCTAACGGGTCATGCTTTTTGAGTTATTAAAATACCTATTGCGATGGAAATGGTTCATGCATGCTGACGGTTATTAAAACAGTACATTTCCAGACACTGCTGAATAAAAAGACTTGTTATGATCATATGAAATATTCATTGCATCTTTTTCTGAAGTAGTTATATTGAGTTTTACGTGCATCTCTGTCTTATAACCAATGTAAATGGTGAAAATATGATCACAACTGCACATATTTACTAGATTAAATAATAAATGCATTCAATATATTGATAAATATTGTAATATATTTTGTGTCATATCAATATTTTTTCTAATATAGGCATTTAAATGTGTGTGTGTATGTGTGTATATTTATAATATATATATAAAACCCCAATAAATTAGATTAAATAATAAATGCATTCAAAATATGCATACATGTTAAAATATATTTCGATGTATATTAATATTTTCATTAATATAGGCATTTAAATGTGTATGTGTAAATGTGCATGTGTATATACTCTGTATATTAGATTAAATAATAAATGCATTCAATATATTGATAGATATTGTAATATATTTTGTGTCATATCAATATTTTTTCTAATATAGGCATTTAAATGTGTGTGTGTGTGTGTGTGTGTATGTATGTATATATATATATAAATAAACCGCTATAAATTAGATTAAATAATAAATGCATTCAAAATATTCATACATGTTGAAATATATTTTGAGGTATATTAATATTTTCATTAATATAGGCATTTAAATATGTGTAAATGTGCATGTGTATATACTCTGTATATTAGATTAAACAATAAATGCATTCAATATATTGATAGATATTGTAATATATTTCGAGGCATAAAAATAATTTCATTACTATAGGCATTTAAATGTGCATATATATATATATATATATATATATATATATATATATAACATAGACTACTAAAATATCTGTTTTTAATATATGTAAAAATATATTTTTGATGTAGATTGATTAAATTTGCATAATATTCTTTCTATTAAATATATAGACTCATTAAATACTAAAACATATAATTTTATGTCTCAGACCTAGAATAGTCTTAAAAAATAAATTATATATATATATATATATATATATATATATATATATATATATATATATATATATATAAATATATATATATATATATATATATATATATATATATATATATATATATATATATATATATATATATATATATATATATATATATATATATATATATATATATATATATATATATATATATATATATATATATATATATATATATATATATATATATATATATATATATATATATATATATATATATATATATATATATATATATATATATATATATATATATATATATATATATATATATATATATATATATATATATATATATATATATATATATATATATATATATATATATATATATATATATATATATATATATATATATATATATATATATATATATATATATATATATATATATATATATATATATATATATATATATATATATATATATATATATATATATATATATATATATACTACATATATATATATCTCTCTCTCTCTATATATATATATATATATATATATATATATAGATATATATATATATATATATATATATATATATATATATATATATATATATATATATATATATATATATATATATATAT